TAAATATATATATATATATATATGAATAAACCTTATGGTTGTACGGCAGTGAAGCATCAGTGCCAACACTGATGTAGCTGATGACTTATTTGTGGAAATCTGAATCAATTTAGCGTCCCATTTTAATGCGGGATTTTCAATACAGATGTGTACACGTGAAATAGAGGCGACCTTAAGTGAAGGACAGTTGTGATTGCCGAAAATGATTCGGGGTAGAAGTTGTGGAAAATATCTTAGGTATAGTTTGGCCTATAATGACTGGGCATCCGCTAAACTACAGACGGGCTCTGGCGAATCTCATGAGGCCGATTATTAGGCGAACCAATCATAAAGGCGTTGACATACTTGGGGTTGTGTGGTTGGTCGTAAGGCAAACGTAGGGATGGAAATGGGTACCGAACGGGGCATGTCTTTTCTGTGAAAAGCTTGTGACAGACTGAACGACCAAGCCTTATAATTTGCGTTAGGAACGGTGGGAAATCGTGAACGTGGACTGAATTTTGTTATGTTTGAGTGCGTGATCTGTTGTTTGCTTCAGACAAGTGGTTGCCCGTTAACTATTCCTTTCGCAATTCTCGACACCCTGCACCACGTGGTCATATACTTCGGATAGGGCCGGGCAAACAGAAGTTCTTATCCGAACGAATGTCTGTTTTTTTTTCGATTGGGGGCCTTTGTTTCTTGTAGGCTATTTAGCATCCTTGGGGTTGTGAACGAAGAAGATTACTGGTGTTGACGTGGCTGAATGATTTTTCTTACGTATGATTTACCACTGGATACGACCGATAATAATATTGTGACACCGGACACAATAACGTACATGCAACCGTGGTCTTGACAATTTGCAGATTAGGGAGGTTCTGATGCTCGCTAGAGCCGAAGTTTCCTTTCCGCACCGTAGTCACAGACAAAAACATCAAACAGAAGTATCCGAACGAATGTCTGTTTTTTTTTCGATTGGGGGCCTTTGTTTCTTGTAGGCTATTTAGCATCCTTGGGGTTGTGAACGAAGAAGATTACTGGTGTTGACGTGGCTGAATGATTTTTCTTACGTATGATTTACCACTGGATACGACCGATAATAATATTGTGACACCGGACACAATAACGTACATGCAACCGTGGTCTTGACAATTTGCAGATTAGGGAGGTTCTGATGCTCGCTAGAGCCGAAGTTTCCTTTCCGCACCGTAGTCACAGACAAAAACATCGGTCTGAGAACACTGGTGTCAATTTATTCAACTAAATCTCTGAAAAGCTGAAGAGAGGGAACCTGATGCTCTCGGTGCACAAACACTAGTGGTATCCTAAAGTCGTGTTAACATCATCTGTATAATCCGCCCTTTTACTCGACACTCATTTCTGTTACGCTTTTCATTCCGGTTGTTGTGGGAAGCCTCAATTTTCTTTCTGTTGCGGATCAATGCATTCGTAGGCTCGTGGTAATACATGGCAACACGAGTCGCGTTTGAACATCAGCGCCGTGAACGATTTTTGTTTATTGAGACTGCATTGGAGTGCGGACACCTGGTCGAGCTGTTTTTGGAATACAGAAGTTACGTTGATTAAACCCCTCAGCTTGCTTCAATGATACACTCTACCAATGTGATTTCACTTCAATGTCTCCTTAGGGCTTTCTAGTATATAAATCTAATAAGGCGTCTATCTACTCAGTAGACAATTTTATCTAGCAAATTCCAGTAACCGATACGCGAGTTTTGTTGTGCTTCTGAATTCATGTTCATCGAAAAAACATGTACTTTGTTGGTCTCACAGCCTTCTGATATGCATACAACGGTGCATTGCCGTTAAATGTGCACCTAGAAGAGCATTCTGAACTTTCGCCCCACCTGTTCGATTTGCACATGGCTATCACCGTTTGTGTGCTTCTCGTATAGTCAGTCATTTTACCACTCAGTTGCACTCGCGTCGCTACACTTGACTGAATGTTGAGTACCAACAGTTTTCCCTATCGCATCTAAAAAACAATAGCTGTTTCTAAGTAATCTATCGAGCATAGTTGAACCATCAGCCTTGGACAACTAGTGGGGCGCACTGTTGTCATTTCTACCTATTGATACACCTAGGAATTCGGTAGAGTTGATTTTCTTGTTCCTCTTCTTTATCTCACTGTGTTTTGACAGTGATCTGAACAAGGCGAAGGAACTAACCGAACTTGGAAAAATGTGCCCCTTTTTGGTAGATAATGGCAAGACCAGGGTTCCAGCCTACTCTACAAGTTGCCTGCGGAGCCAGCTACCCTGAAACCCGCCATTCCTTCGGGTAGCGAATCTAGGTCTGTGCGGATTGATTTTGACATGCACATCTTTATTGGAACTGTAAAACCTTGGTTGCAACTGTTTCAATCAACCTTGTGTCGCATAATTATCAAGCCTCCCGCTCTCCTGTTGCACCAGAGAATTGAGAGTCATTGCGGTTCTCGCGGACGGCAAACACTCACCCAATACCTGAAGTAGCAGGGGCTCAACGAGGACACTGTCCACAAAATCCTTCCGACTCACATACCCATCTTTATCCTGATCGAGCAACAGGAACACCATGTCCAGCATATCAGTCTGACACTCTTCCGCGTCCTCATCGGGAATATTGGCTGCTAAGATATTTTTCAGGTACATCTGGATGTCCTCTTTGGATAAGAAATCTCTGCGTTGATGGTCATACACAGTGAAGGCGAAATTAGCAAGTTGCTTCAATGTCCCTCTTAGGTAGATATCCATTCCGATTATCCAGTCCTCATATGTCATGGTACTCTTTCCATTAGCCATTGTGCGGAAAATTTTGTCCATCATGATATCATTCGTTAGTCCAAAGAAGTTGAACAGAACGTCTTTTAACACGGTTTTCGTCATTGGAGAGTTGTATTTCTCAACAAGCTTGTCGAATATTCTCAGCAAACCCTCAATCTCAATGCACGTAAAACGGGTCTTTGTTTCCAGCTTTAAAGCTTGACGATAGAATCGCTGTTTAAGAATGGACATCGACGGCTTTCGGTCGTTCATTTCTCCAGGTACTGATTGTTGACTTGCCATTTAGAAGCGACTGAGCAGAAGGAGTGAACCGACACGACGTGTATCGATTGGAGGTCGTTCAAATCAGTGGGGCATCTTACATTACAGGCTGGGTAGAACAATCTTCCACCCAGCCCATACCCACCTGTTCATCGGCGGTTTTGCGTAAAATCTAAGCAGCTCATGAGTAATATGAACCTGTGAGATTACTTCACCAGAGTTTACTTGGATGGTCGCGAGGCAATTACAAATTAAAAAAATCCGTCCAATGGATCGCCCATCTATTCTTGCTGCAGTTCAATAAGCCCGTGACAGTAGATCAATTACAGACCGATCACCTGCGGTCGTGTATATGATGTTCGCTATCGTGACGACCGACCTGTGTCCACTGCGAAATGACGAAACTAAAACCTAACGGAGAAAATCACTGCACTTGTGCTCAGCGGAAACAAGTTCAGATCTCCAATGTCCCCGGAAAAATAGTCGCTTAAAGTACGGTATGTAGGTCCGGTTTTGTAGTTTTTTGCTGCCTTTGGTTCCATCGACAAAGCGACAGAACGAAGCTAGTGTCTCATTTGCTTACGTCAGACGAAAACAACTGCGCCTAGCAAGAATTATCATGCGTTACTCGGAAGTGCGTCATTTCAACCATTTCACCAGACTATCACCTATCATCAAGCCAATCCAGCCGTTGGCCTACCTCCTACATGAGGGCTTAGGTACTAGCGCTTTGTTTAGTATGCAATACTAGCTTTGTCTGGCTGAATATATAGGTGGGAAATTAACTCGACACTTTCGCTTGACACTGTGCCTAAATTTCGGTGGCTTAGTGGGCTAATTGGCTCTCGGTCAATAGCCACTTGATCAACAGTCAATTTTCATAATTCCTTGCATACCCTCCATAGACCCTACTCAGTTTATCTCCCTAACCACATCATAGGATATTACGCAGGTGACAACCCAGCTGATACACACTGCTGTCAATGATCACGAACACAAGTCAGAATGGCTCAACAAAAGAGAAGCTTATGAGGTGGTGAAATCATTCCAAAAAGAACCAATTAATCAATATATTGTTTCTCCCTACAGGAGCGACGACTCGCATAACACAACACTCCAACAGAAATCGAATTATGCGGATTGTGTGCACTGAGGCCTATTTACGGCACGTAAATTGTTCATATATGACTGATTAACGGAAAAACCTCTGTGCGGTGTTCGCTGTTGATTGATTCCGTCAAGTTCCCATCATTACCTCACCTGTTGAGTTCCAACCTCCTCTGTAGAAACAAGTGCAAGTTTGCCTCTATACCAGCTCTTCCTCAGTCAGATACGCTGTTGTTGTTCCTACAGAGTAAATACGAAAGTTTAACTAACAAATGTTTTAGTGACATGCGATAACAGCATACTCTGCAGCGTTCGAGAATCGGTATACGCGTTGCCCGAATCATGTCTATCGCATTCCGGTGCTATCCCAAAAGGTACAAATGACGTTCAGGTGAGCGGACATGTGAACGAGGGCGTCTGCTAAACCTTTCACTGTCGGTCATGCAATGATCTCACATGCTTGGATAAGGTGGAGAAGGTTGACTTTTACGGGCAAGGAGGAAGTGGCTGGCATCAAGGGAATTGAAAACGGTCGTTTCCCACATGATCTTCGTTATAAATCCCGGTCTGAGAAAATCATATAATTGTGAAATTCAGTCTAAGTTTGATGTCCGTCAGCTGTCCGTGTACAACATCCAAGCCAATGGAAAGAGTAGATCGAGCAAAGTGAACTATTGTTTCACCAGTATTCACGAGTCAGGAGAGTCTTCGAAGAAATCAAAATAGATTTTGAATGGGACATATATATTCAGCCGTCTTCTACATACGGAGTTAGACGATGGACACAATAGACTTATGATTTATTGATCAACTTAACACTTACACGAAAGACAGTTGATTTATGGAACATAACAGGAGTATATGGTACCCTTCTATGAAACAGTTTTGCAAAAAGTGCTTCTCGGCTGTAAACAGGTTTTGTAGACATGCGGTATTCGAAATGTCTTAGCGGTCTGAAAACCAAATGCGGAAAGGGGCCTATCAACAAGGTGGTTCTAGACAAGGCCGAAGATTTTGCCATCGGTTTAGATCACAAAGGCTTAGGGTTCATTGTTTCTCTTTGCAAATTACAATTAGTTAGTAGTACGAGAGGAGTTGAGAATTTGCGATTGAGATTTCGTCCTGTAAGTTAAGCCTGTCTATGACGTTTGTTAGATGACAGGTCCCAATTTACCACCAGCTTCTCAATGAACTTCATGGGAGAAAAACCTCCACGAGACTGTGATACTGCGTTGCCTCGACAACAGTAAGATCGTGGATCTACCTGTCCATTTTCTTTCACACCCCATCGGTAACGCGCAAAGCAATCCTCATACATCATCACGACCTGCTTTCGGTGTTCCAGCGCCAGTTAGCCCCACTGATCTCGTGTAATTGACTTTGCCACAAGAGCCTCTCCAATGTTCAGTGTTGTGCAATTTTCAGCTACAGATGTGACTGAACCAACTCTTTTACAACACACTCGGATCGATCGTGCTCCACATGCCTTGTGTGTTGACCAATCAATGAAAAGCACTAGACCATCGTGAGTTTCTCGATCTCCCAAAGCAAGGAACAAGGTATCAGGCAATCCCGAGTGTTGTCATGCAGTAACCACGTTTCTGCAGCCAAACTGCCGTCTTGATGGCAGCACGGTTTGGTTCGAGCGTTTTCCGACTTGTCAGTTCGGGCTGTAAAAAGGTTGATTTGGCTCGTGTGACTAATCAACTTCAGTTGGTCGGAACAGTCCGCTCGAATACCTGTCAAACCAGAGAGCGCGTAAGATACATCAACAGAGTTCGGACTCAACTGCTGTCGTTTTTGACTTCCCTTTCAATGGCTAGTTCGGTAAACAGGAACTGATTTAACGAACTGTGTGGTCACGGATGGTTTTGAGGCGACTGTAAAATACTCGGAGCAAGCCAGCATAACTGACGGAAGAGCAGCAGCTCATTACACACATCGTTACCACGGCAATCAAAATTACGAATTCAATTTTACGCATCTTCCTACTTGAATAGAATAGGGCTTCGAAAAACGTGGAGCAATCTTCCATCCCAGAAATCTTTAGTGTTCAGAAATGCGCACCCGAGCTAGGTCTTTTCTTGATTTTCAAACAACATAAGGAAATCAGTCGCACTGTCACTGAGTCAGTTTTCACTGTAACGCGCATATAGACACGTATTGTAGGTGGGGTTGAAAATTTTCTGGTCATCGTGTAACGTTCGAGGAATGCCGAGCTTCAGCGGTCGTAGGAAAATCGTTGAGAGATGGTTCTCCACGAGAATCCAGCATACTTTATTTTACTGGATCGATTTTCACGTAGCTCGACCTGTAAGTAATGTACAAATGAAGACGAAATCATAAATGAAATTCCTAAACCTGTACATGCCACTGAAAGTCTCTTAGGGGCTTCGAGGAAGACTAATTTCACAAGATGAGTATAAATTCCATCCGATAAGTCGTTACTCGAGCAGCCAGTTAGTGTGTGACCAC